GTCGTGCCTTCCGGCCCAAAGTGGGGTACAAGGCGGTGGCGGCGGTGGTAAACTCTCTAGCTCGTCGTCGCCGTTGACCTTGAACGCCGCTTCTACCACGGACGCACAACGTACGCGCATTGCGACCACGAGGTCGCACACACTGTAGACCCGACTCGACCACGGTGTGCCGCCAGTGTCTGCTGCTCGTATCGCGAGTGCGTATTGTGTTGTTGTTGTTGTTGTTGTTGTTATTGTCATCGTCGTGGTCGGTGTCTCGGTGTTGTTGTTGTCGTTGTGTCGTCGAGCGTCGGTCCGAGTGTGCCCGTCCCTGTCGTCCCTCCTCTCCCCCCTAAAAAAAAAAGAGGTGGCTATCACATTCCGGCGCTGATAATTCCGTCAGTCACATTGTCGACGACGCGTCAAAGGTACAGTTAGTCCGCCAGGAACTTTGAGAACATATTTTTTAAGTTTAAAAGAAAATTTCAGTTACAAATTAAGCCGGCCCGGCCGCGCGGGTAGCTTCTGTGCTCGAGGAGGAGCGCAACGTTTTTCAGTTTTGCCGTTGCGACGTTGTCACGTTTCTCGATCGGCCGCCGTCGCCTTACAACGCCGCGGCCGCCTTATTGCAGACAAACTAGCTCGTTCCATTTTCAACACACTGATCTAGTCTTATTTCCTTTTCCTTTTTCTCTCGCGTTTCTCTCTTATACATTTTTCATATCTGCCAGACCGAATGAATGACCTTTTACTTTTCCATTTTTTTTCTCTCTTAAAAAGAAAAAAAAATACCCAAGTCGCCGCCGCTGAAAACGGATTATATTTTCTATTCATTTCAGATTACTTCGATTTTTCCTTTTGGTGGAAAAAAAATCCCAGTAAAAGGCATTTTTCAGACTTCGGAAAACCGTCATCGGTTATCCGACATCATAATATTCAATCGACATACCCTAGCAGCCTCCAAATACATATTTGTTTATTCAAATTCTTACGTTACAACGGTAACGTTAAGATAAGATTTCCTGAGATTTGGTAGAAAAAAATGTTGTTTGTCTGTCCGTCCACACCGAATAACAATCCATTCAAATAATAATACTATGTCGATGGTGTACGACCTCCTCTTATTATTAATAGAACGGTTTTTAAGAATGTTGCAAATATTCCAGGAACTTCGGTTATTCCTGGAATTCACGGTGCGTTTGGTAAATAAGCGTGGGAGTAAATAATAAATGACTTAACTAAGTAACTGTAGTAATAATACATATTATATATTGATATGCACCGTTTGTCGGTTTGGTAGGTATGAGATGTTATTATGTTAAAATATTCCAAGCGTTGTTTTGTCAAACGAATGAGAAAATATGTAATAAACAAAAATAATTTTATTCTATTGACACGTTTCCCGTTATTGTAAAACTATATTATTATTGTTCACAATGCTCGTGTGTGTGTAAACGTTTTTTTATGCGGTTTAAGTAGGTGCAATGTAAAGTGTAACACGAGCAGATAACGTCAAGTCGAATAACTAATAATAAAATATCGTGTGTACGTTTTTTTTTCTTATCAGTAAAATATACATTGATATGAAACTAGTAGAATCGAGTAAAGCTGTCAATGAGCGATAAAATTAATTGTTGATAAATTGTAATCGACATTGTGATTTTTTTTTACATTTACAAAATCAACAGCTGATTATACAGAATTTCATCCAATGCAGTGAGGATAAAATAACAAATAAAAAAAAAAATGTTGATCCATAAATGTGTTTTTCCTAGCTTTTTTTTATGCTTTATCCTTGACGATAAACATGTTTTGATTGAGAAATTTTAACGAATATTATATTTTAACTATAATGTAAAAAAAAATGTCCTTAATCCGTATCAAAACGAAAATGAGGTTATTGCAGTGTTTTTAATGATAACGCATTGCTATTTAGGCACGTTACAAGAACTAAATATTAATAAAATATTGCGTTTATGCAAATGAAAACGTTAAAGCTAAAAAATTAATTTAAGAAAAAAACATATTAAAGAAAAAAAAACCACTACATGGAAAAATGACAAAAATTCTAGGCCAACTTAGTCGGTGCAGCAGCTGCACTGCAGCTATTATATTAATAAACGGGTTTAGTGGGAAAATAATAAAAAAATTTTTTACTACTAAAAACAGTGTAAATTACCTGTGTCTGGTCGTAGCCGATTTCATAAAAATTATGTCTGAAATGAATTAATATCATATTACTTTCAAATAATAAACGTCTCAGACAATAACTTGAAAATATCAATAATTACTAGTTAAATACCGAATTCTTCGTACATCAGAAAACAAATAACCATGTTTTTGTTATAATGTACTAAATTATATATACATATATTATATTATATAAACAAAAATAATTTTAGCACAGAATAAATAAAATCAGAACGGTCACTCCAATGTGTACACAAAACGACCCATGTAATGTAAACCCATGTTTTTGGGTTTTTTATATACTAACATCTTTTTTTTTTTTTTGTAGCGATAAAAAATTGTATTTTTTTACGCGATATGAATTTCTGTTTACAGAATATTTCAACAGACACTTTTTATTTAAATTTGATAAAATACATTATATTTGATTTCACAGATTTAATTTATCAGTTTTAAGCATAATATTATACGTGCATACGTTATTGTCGTTATAAGATCGGCGTACAATTATTATTACAGCTGCGATGTCCATTTAGTTTTCTAAACATGTGTAAAAATGTAAACCTGACGAAAATGTATTCTGACTAATCAAATTCCGGTTGTGTTCACGTCGAGACGACAAAATTAGTCGTTTTTACTCGTTGGACTTGCATTTAAGGCCGCCATTGGAATAGTTGAGTGGTTTTTTTTTTTTCGCGTAGGAGATAAAATTTACATCCATCGGTGAGCTCAACGGTGGGCGATGACGTCTACTTTCGCGCGCCATTTTTTTTTTGCCAACAAAGATGTATAAAAATTTGTATTTACAGTTTTCATAATAATAATTTATATTTAATATTAACGTCATTCGAAAAAGGACTCGTGTACTGATCGCCGCGCGGATTGTTGTTGGTAAATTATTATTGTATTATTTTACATTCCTTTTGATAACGTTTTTCACGGTTTAGTAGCCTACTATACTACGACGTTCCATAGTGCGAAATCGATTAATATTTTATTATTAATTCATATCGTTGTTTAAACGACGGATGACGTCATCGATCAGTCATGCCGTTAACTACTATTATGATATTAATGTGTCTCGTTCCGCGTTGTTCGAAATAACAATTTAATTTTATGCACTGAAAAATAATATTTACCATTCATTATTCGTGACAGGTAAAACGTTTTGTCTGTGTAAAATGTGTACAATGGTATAATATGTGCTGTGGTGTCGTGTTCGCCAAAAACCGAAATTCCGTATACCGTTTAAAATACTTAAAAAAAAATGTTAAGCGTTTGGTAATTATTATTAATCGTGGTGTTTTTATATTACACATTTTATTCGACATGTTATTATCGTTTTGACTTCGGGACGTTTCTACTTCTGCCGGATTATTTGGGTAAATTTTCAACACAAAATCACTCTTTTACAAAAAAAATATCTTATGAATATTGTCAAAATGACAAATGTGCAAACAATAGTCGACCAGGTAATAAGCTATCGTATGGAAGGAAAATGTCATTAACCGCCTCAAAAACCACTTGAATGTGTGTTTGCCTTTAAAAAGTTCAAACACTCATTTGTGCATAACGACTCTTTGTGTCCACTTGAATGCCGGCGACCTAGTTAAGTTACACGTTAGACTAATGGCAATGACTTATTTGTACTTAATGTTTCAATTATCACAAAAATAGTGTCTTTGATAAAAAAAATAATTAAATGTATACATACATAGAAATATAAATAAATGATAACATAATATTATTATTGTGTTATAAAATATTATGCGCAAGGAGATTATAATATATATCTGTGGGAAATCAGCTGATAAGAGATGACTGATAAGACATGTTCATGTTTCAACACAGATATTATAATATATATATATTTATCTGTGTGATAGAACGTCTTCTTCTAGGGAAAGATTTTTTTTTTAAAACAATCTGGTTTAACACGTTTTTTTTGTTGTACAAATTTATATTATCAAACGGCTTTGTATTCCCAATCCGGTCTCCATTAACAATATTCATGTAAAACAATTTGTATTTTAATTTTGATGTACAATATAATATTATACATTTTCTAATTTTAGTGGCAAAGCACACTTTATTCAGCGGTAAATCCATAAAAATGATCAAAACGGATTAAAGCCGTTAACATCAAGTTAGATAAAATGTTTTTCAATCTGTCGAATAGTTATCAATATTATCAAATGAATGTCCCAATGTTGGAAAAATATTGTTTTTTTCTTATACCTACGTTTAAAAATACATTTTATAAAAACAAAAAATTAAAAACTAATTAAACATATTGTTTGTAATACAACGTTTTGGAATTTAATACTTCTTATAATTATTTAAATTAGTAGACGTTAATACTTCTTATCACATTAAAATATCAATGTTAATTAACTAATGAAATGTTATTCAAACGTTGAAAACAAACTCCTACGTTTCATTTTAATTAGATTAGGTCGTTACTTGTTCAGCAAAAACATTAAACGATTTATATAAAATGTAAGAATTAATTTAATAGAAATGTTTAAGTTTAATAAGTAAACTAAATGTTCCATTAAACACTTCAACCGGAAACATTCGACAAATTTGTTTGAAATTTTATTAAGAAATTAAATTAGATATATAAATATAAATGAAAACCCGCATTGTAAACGTGTACTTCGTTTAGTAAAAATACAATTGTCTACTCTTTCTGTTCCTCATTTGACAAACGGGTTATGTTTTACTTTGTCAGAACAGGTTGAGTTCGATTGGCTCGAGTGTATTTTTGTTTTTTTTCCCTTTGCTCTTTATTATCATTAATTTCACCATTTTTTGTTTTGTTTTTACAGCTGTTGGCAACAATGACAAACAGCTTCAGCATTCGTCGCCCAGAGTGACGTTGCGGCTGACCAACACGGGCAACAACCAGTTCAAGAGTTCTTCGGCCAGACAAGATGAGAAGAACAAGAAATTAGCGGCGGCCGAAGACAACAACATGACCGGCGACACGTAAGTTTTGTTGTGTGTTATTCGCCATTCTTAATTTTAATTTTTCACCATTTTTCTCTCCTCAACAGGAAAACCGTCGAGACTGAAGACAAACCGGAAACGCCTGTCCAATCCGCGGCCACCGCCTCTTCGGGCACGGCGGCCGGTGCTTCGGCCGACAGCGCGGGTCAAGCAAGTGCCGCCAAGGACCACCCTGTAGATTCGAAAGAAGCCGCGGGCGGAGCTGCCGCCGGGACCGGCGAAACGACTGAGGGCGAAAAGAATGCCGAAAAAGACACGGCCGGGGACAACTTGAAACGACCGAAGGAGGCCGATGCCGACGAAGAAGTCAAGCCCAAAAAGCGCAAGGAGGACCACGGTCAAAACGCCAAAGGTAAAATAAAATAAACGTTTTCCCCTCGAATCCAAGATACTACTCATATATATCACACAAGAACGCGGCGGCCATCTTCTGTAATCTACACCACTATATCTTTACATTTGTTATTATTAGTTTTGTATAGATATATCGTTATAGTAAAATAGTAAATAGATTACTACAATATGGCCGTCACCGTGTGTAAGCGAGATATTGTATTTGTGTTTTTGTATTATTTTTGGCGTACATAAATAAACCCGACTTTGATTTTAGGCAAAAACGATGCCTCTAGTCCGAAACCCGACAGCGACGAGGACGTCAAGTCCGGAGGCTCGGGGCCGTCGAGCGTCGACAGTCCGGGAGGAGGCCCCAAAGTGCCTCCGTTGAAAATTGTGATACCGACCACGGACGCCGACACGGGTGCCAGGACCAACGGCAAGAACGGCAACCGGTCGCATCACCATACGGCGCTGCCGTACGTGGTCCCTTCGGAGGAGTCGCCGCCGTCGTCGAACCAGCCCAACTCGCCGAAATCGCCGCCCAAGCCGGCCGGGTCGTCGGACACGGTCATCAACGCGGACGAACAGAAGTCGCCGCAAACGCGCGTGCTGCGGTCGTCCAACCGGTCCGGCAGCAACAGCAGCGGCGCGCCCAGCCGCGGCACTTCGCCCACCGTACCCGAAGAACAACTCGCACAGACTACTTCGCCGGCCGCCGCCGCCGCCGCAGCCACCGCGGACGCGGGCTCGGCCAACCCGTCGCCGGCCGCCGCCGCCGCCGCCCGCACTGCCGAACAGCAACAGCAGCAGCAGCAGACGGCCGCCGATAACGGTTCGTCGGCGTCCACGGCCGCTGCCGCCGCCGCCGCCGCCGAGGACAAACAACAGTCGACGGGCTCGTCGGCGGCCGCCGCTGCCGCCAACGGTGGTGCGGCGTCCGAGACGATGACCACCGCCGAGGCGATGGAACTGCACCCGAGGCGTCGGAAACTGAAAGCTAGTCGGACCGAGTCGGAAAACAGCGATAACTCTTCCGCAGCCAACGTGGCCGCAGCCGATACCAATCCGTCCGGTTCCGCTGTCGAACCAACTCCGGTTACCAATTGCTACCAGATGTTTTTAAATATTAGAAAACAGGTACCTTGGCAACGTCTTACGACTTATCCACAACAGAGCCGCCGGGTAAATTTCGAATAAGAGAGAGAAAAGACTGTTTATCGTAACTGGACCGTCCTACGGTACAGTGCAAAAATCAATAGAACACTGTACAATTTGTATATATATAAAAAAAGTTAAATAAAAAATAATTGCAATCTCACATTATATCACAGTTACATAATTTAATTTTCATTGAAAACTAACAAATAGGCGATTTGACGAATAACAGCGTAACGTTTTATTCATCTGATAACTTAGAATTGTTTTATCAAGATGGGGAAAAATTATTCGAATCATGCCCGGCACTGCTCCAAGCTTTTTTTAATTATTTGTCTTCTTAATTTGAAATAATATTTTTCTCTCTGTGCTGTGTACAGATCGACAAGAGGCGTAAAAACCTGTTCCCGGTGCAGCCGAAGCCGCCGTCCGGGTTCAAAGACTACCTGATGAATAGGTGTACCTATGTGTTGGCCAACAACTCCAACAGCCGTGTGGTGAACACTCAGACGCCGTCGCCGGCCAATTTGCACGATCAGCTTAAAAAACTATTCGTCGAACAAGAAAAGGAGAGACAAAGACTTCGTATACAGGTGTGTGTGCGTATGAAGCGAGTTGAATGCATTGAGATTATAGTCAAACTATTTCTATAATTATCTTAATTTTTTCAAATGTTAACTCTAGTTTAAACAAAGTACAGTGTATAATAAGTACAGATCTCACACATATTGACGGCTTAATAAACGTCACATATTATTTTTTTGCCACGATTTTGTAAATATGACACAAAATATTGACACCTATTATTTTGTTTTTTTACACCTTTATACTTTTGAATGACGGAAATCTGGCTAACAAAGCTAGAAAATAAATTATCTTTTTTAAAACATAAACGTTAGGCTGGTTTTTAAGGAGTTTTATATAGGCAATATTTTTTTTTAGAAAAGTGTAAATAATAATTTATTATTTAAAACTGTACGTTAGACGTTAAGATTTTTAAAATTGCCAATTACACAAATTGTATTTGAAAATCATTCTATGTTATTTATGAATAACACAATTACCATTACTTACTCAAGAATGAATATTTTTTCTTACACAGCATATTGTCGAAAAAGAAAAACTGGTGTTGAGCGTCGAACAAGAGATACTCAGGGTGCACGGCCGGGCCGCCCGTGCCCTGGCCAACCAACTGTTGCCGTTCTCGGTGTGCACCATACTCAAAGACGACGAGGTGTACAACATCATGACGCCGGAACAAGAAGAAGAAAAAGACAGGCACGCTCGGTCTCGGTACAACGGCCGTCTGTTTTTGTCGTGGCTCCAAGACGTGGACGACAAGTGGGAGAAAATCAAGGTACGGACGAATCGACACACACAACGCTGGCCACCGGTTACCGCCAACTAACGTCCGTTGTCTTTTACAGGAATCCATGTTGCTGCGGCACCACAACGAGGCGGAAAGCCTGCACGCCGTCCAGAAAATGGACTGGGGCTGGAAGCTGAAGGAACTGCAGTTGTGCAGCAGCAGCGCCGACCCCAACATCGAAGAGGAACACGTTCCCATGGTTCTAGTCAGTGACGATTTCGATCTCTTACCCGCCTAAGCCGCCCGGCTTTCCCCGTTTATATCTACGCCGCTAAACAATTTTTATACATTTTAATTATATTACAATATAATATAACAATTTGTCATTATTTTACATACACACATTTTACTGTCAATCGTCATCCGAGTGTTTGCCGCTCGTATTTGTGCCATTTTATATATCATCCGTAATAATCGCGTACGATTATTACAATTTTTATTTTACTTCTTACAAAAAAAATGTACGGAGGGTTTCCGAAAGAGGTTTTTAAAGCACTACACTGTATTGTACTTTTTTTTTTAATTATTACTATTATTTTGTCGACGCTGATGAAAAAATAAAACGTTTTCTACATCGTCGGTGTCTCGAATTTTCCGCGTTATTTTTTTCAATATTGCCATTGCTGCCGATAACCGGATTTCCCCGAAATTATCTACAAAAATTGTATAGAAACCGTCTAAAGATATTAATCTCCCGAGGAGAACGGAAAGCGCCCAATTGTGTACAAATAAATAGTAAAACGAGATATCACTTTCTGTGGTGTTTATACCGAACTGTTTGTGTTCTCAGACATATTTTGTTTGTTTTCAAAATCCTATTATAAGCGTTTATATTTTTACTTTTTGTCTCATAAGTCTATTCAATTCCCTAAATAAAATATCGGCCCTCAGTTTCCCTCAAACTTTCGACATAACATATTAATATTTTTTTACCCTTAAACGAATACGATACGAAGGTCTCTCTCGTTGACAAAATAAACGTAAATAAAACAAATAGTAATTATATTATTTAAATAAAATCAAAATTATAACGAAAGCAAAAAAAAAAATACATTTAAAATTATCGAAAGCTTACGGTGGTCTCTTTATATAAAACAAAATTGCATTATAATATTTTAAATGTACATCTTTCTTAAATAACATTAACCGTTCTCTCGATTGTTAAGAACTATAACTCGACCGATTACGACCGTCGGAAGTACAGCTTGAATGGTTTTTTTGATCAAGTTCTATTGGAGGCATGTCGTGTGTCCCGGCGTTAAAATTGCAAAGATCTCGCAAGATTTGTATGAAACCACGATCGGCCTCGGTCCGTCTAAGTATGCATTCAGGCTGCTCGACCGCTCTTACCATGATCTCTTCGATGATCGGACGCAGCGCTACAATGGCGGCAGCGGATTTCACGTCCATGTCCAAACGAATCCTGTAAAAAAAATAACAAAAGTATGGCGACGTGTAAAAAATATGAAAACGCTTGTCAAATTACGAAATACAAACCAGTCGTCCAACACTACGCAGTCGTCGGTGTATTCTATTTTCACAGCGCCAAACAATAGTAGGTGGATCGGTGTAACCATGGTCATTTGCATGCAGAACAAGGCGCCGGTTTGTAACTTGAATAAAAACAAATTAAAGTTGTCTGAAAGTATAAAAAATAGTTTATAACATTTATAAGTGTCACATATTTACTTACTCTATCGGCGAAAACAAAGAACGGCGAAGGAAATTGCGTTTTCTTGTTTTGTTCACAGTTGACGGACGATCTGTGTATACACGCCGTTAATTTATCTTTTAAATTAACCTAAATAAATAGTTATTATTTATTTTTAAACAATTTTTTTGTACTTGGAACACTCAAACAATATATATATATGTTATTATCAAATAGAAATGTATTAATAAAATAAAAACTAATTTTATTATACTATTTGGGCTAACAAAAGTTACGGTGGCGATACAAATGTATAATTTACCACTCTTCCAAAATCGTGGCAGCAAACGTTCGGATAAAATCCTGCAGTCAAGATGGCCGGCAGCAAGTCCAAGTCCGGGCTGTCCTCTGCCGTGTCGTGTTCAAAGTCGATATCGGGTTGACGGTAACACTCCTTGGGAAAACCGCTATTGATCATTCTCTGCTGTATCTGTTTCTGTTTACGGCCGAAATCAAATTTGTTGTAAGTTTAATATGTACCAACACCAGGAATAACACCGACGACTCACCTTGATGTTATGAGCGGACATCAACGAGCCCCAAGACAACATGTTGTCGGAACAAAAGCCCCAGTCGTTGATGTCGTTCCTGTGCATGTACTGCCATTGGTAAAACGCGTTCAGTGTGGCTATCTGGTCCGAACAGTAGTTTTTGGAAAACGATTGTTTAACGCTCGGCACTCCTTGGTCTTCACAGACATAAAAACCATAACCACATATCACTTTCAGCACTTTGTATAAAATATATTATTACATTCAATTGCTTTAAGCACCTTGTATGAACAGCTCGCATTGGTCCGAATGGACGGCCGCTACTATGCTCAACGGGTCGCCAAGCTTAAAGAAGCTCGCCAACACAATCATGCGGGTCAATTTTGGCCAAAGTAGTTGTCTTGCGGCGATTAGACCCAAAGAGGTGAGTTCCAGATTGTCGCCAAGACACTTCATGCCTGAATAAAAAAATAAAATGATCTATAGCCAATATTTATTCAATTCTAACAAATAATAAAAAAAATGTATTTATACTAAAAAAATGGTATTTATTTATTAAATTTAAAAAAGTCCAGTACCTAGTGAGAGAGGAAGTCGTCGATTACAGGTATTGAAAATTCAAATTAATTATAAAATAAAAATTAATAGAATCGTAATCAAATGAACACTTGTGCAAAACTTTAGACGGTAAAAATAATTATACATAAATGATGAACCGTTTACTAGATAAAAAAATGTGTTTATTCATAAAATTTTTTATTTTTAGGTAACTATTCCTAATGAAAATAATCTGTACACAAATTGTTTTCCTATATAATAATCTACAGAGCATTTTTTACTTCAATATTGAAAAACCTAACCTCCTTACCCTAAACCTAACAAAAAAAAAAAAAAATGCTCATCTTCAATTGATTACCCCAGTATAGGATGAACAAGTATTAAATATAAAAAAACTACAGTGTAACAAAATACAAGTTTATAAGAATTAATGTAACATTATTCAAACTTATTGGTAAAATGTTATAAGATAATAGTCCTGAAGTATGGGTACAGTAGCCTAAGTTAACACTACATTGTAGCAATAACCGAGTTCAGTTGGGTAAAAAAATAAACACATGTTTAGTAATTATTGACTATAAATGGTATGTTTGTTTTCGAGAACGGCTGAAACTATAATAATTTACTGTACTTTTGAGAATGGATTCGGCTTCCACGACAGATTTCATGGGAGGAGGTTGAATGGCTCTACTCAAGTAACTTCCGATGTCTCCCAATTTCAACAGTTTAATGCCCAATCCGATCATTATTAAAGGCAAGCGAGTGAGTTCTGGCACAATATGGTCGTCCAATTTATCGTATCTCGCCTAAAACACGGTTTGAACGGTAATTTTATCACTATTCCAGGTCTGAATTCCAGTCAATTTTACCTTTGAGCACAAATGAAAACAGTATCCGGGTTTCACGCGGCCAGCTCGACCCATCCGTTGTCGTTTGTTCGCTTTGGACACCCAAACGGTAACAAAGTTGATCGTATTGTCTAGAGGAGTGAATACATTCATCCTTGCTTTGCCGTAATCGATGACATAAACTATGTCTTCAATTGTTATCGATGTTTCGGCAATATTTGTCGTCAAAATTAACTGCAACGAACATGTGCAATCGCGTTAGGGAAATATAATCGATTGGCCAAAAGGTTGCTCATTTTATTGGACAACACATTCAATTAAACACAAAACATTCGGACGTCAATCAATTACCTTTCGCACGCCTGGTGGTACTTTCTGAAAAACTTTTTCCTGTTCAGAGGTCGGAAGCTTAGAATGAAGAGGCAAAATTAAAAACCTCGGCGAAGCTATAACAATAGTAAATCAATAAGTTAAGCAGACTTGTGCGTAAACATAGTTTTAAAATACCAAATAGCGCTTTTTTCGACAAATAATTCCTCAAGGCCGCGATCCAGTCCCAACCGGGTAAAAATATCAAAACGGCGCCGGACCTGTTTTCGGGTTGTTCTTTCGCGTCAATGGAAGCCAACAGAGCTTCGACGAGTTCAAAATGTTGATCGTCCTCTGGAATCATCGCCACTCGTTCCCTGACAATTTCGGGATAGTCGTCAGACACAAATAAGTTACAGTTTTCACCATTAGTTTTTTTGTTACATCTTCTGAGTTTCTTTTTATCTGTGTTCGGCTGAAAGTCAAGCTTTTTAATAATGTCTTCCAGGAAAAATTCTGAAGAAAAAACATAATTAATTATCAATAATAAACAATACAGAGATGATGACAGAAAAAAATACCCTTTATGGGATGACAGGTTCCTTTGATGGTGATTATCGGACAATCGTTGAAGTAACTGCTGAATAATTCAATGTCAATAGTAGCCGACATAAGAATTATCCGAATATCCGGATATTTTTCTACCATGTCTTTGAGCACGATCATTAGAAAATCGGTGTCGGCGTGTCGTTCGTGTATCTCGTCCACTATTATGTGCGATATGCCGTGTAAGCCATACTCCAATCTTCGCATGAGTATACCTTAAATTTTTTTAAATTATCAAGAATAATTTTTCGTGTACGGTTAGTCTTCAGCCAAAAAATTGACTTAACCGTTGAACGACCGGCACAAAACTTGACGTTTTGGAAATAGTCGTAAAAAAAAAAAATGAATAATATTTCAATACGCAAAAAGCCTAAAAACTGTAAGACTCACCGTCGGTACAAACCAAAATGGAACCGTGTGAACGAGGGAAGACGTGCTCGAACCGTACAGCGTAGCCGACACTCTGGCCCAAGGTTTCGCCTCGTTCAGAGGCAATTCGATTAGCAACAGAGATGGCCGATAACTTCCTGGGTTGGGTGCAAATAATATTGCAGTACGCTCCCTTGTTATCGCTCAAATGATCATCGAGTATGAGCTGACTGACCTGAAAACATTTATAAATTAGTTTAGGTTATTTGCCGATTTATCAAAATGCAAAACGGCTATCAATCGGCCGACCTGTGTTGTTTTACCGCAGCCTGTGCTTCCTTCGATTATGACTACAGGATTTTTCTCAATTGCGTCCAAGATTTCGATCGCTCTGCTATAGATGGGTAGCTTATTGCATTTTGACAAGCTTTTCGACAAACTGCTGTTATGAAAATGTTTATTGAACTGTTTACTTAAATCTTCGCTCATTTCATCCAAAGTCTACGAGGACAAAAATCAAAAGAATGTAATTTTTTAATTGAAAGTGTCTAACATAAAAAAACATAGTTTTATACCAATAATACAAACTTAAACAATCACCTTAAACACACCTTTACATCTGTACAGCTAAAGATAATGTAAAAATGTTAGCACAACAAATGCTTGAGTACAGAAGAATTGAATAAATTTAATCTAGTCAATAAAAATAGAAAGTTTCACTAATAATATATTTATCGATAAAATATAATAGTCAATTTGTTATTATGATTGGGTAAACCCGGTAGTTTAATTTAAGTTAAATTAATTAAAATAAGGAATAGAAAATCAAATAGTTAAAACAAGGAGTAGTTGCAAGTTTGTGTAAGAGTAGTCAGTAGTCAATATTCAGATTGTTGTATTAGCTAATGTTTTTTTTTTAGTTAGTTTTTTATTTATACTTATTCGTATGGCTCTAAATTAGTAAATTAATATTAATTTTAATTAAACCCGAGCGTTTCAATCCTTTATTCTTTTAATTTGAACAGTTAAAAAAAAAAAGAACAATGGTGTATTTTTTATTTTGGTTATTTAGTTTTTTTTTTTTTATAGTCAAAATAATAGTCATCCCAAAAGATGTACTCTGTCATCAGTTAGGTCATGACTAATAATATTCTTATTTTAGTGGTTATTTATTTAATAAATAACCACTAAAATAAGAATATATCCCGCTTTTTGGAAGAAATATGTTGTGTCGATAAAGAATCAATAAAAACATGCATATACAATTATACACGTACGTCATAACTCGATATATTACTGTTTCTTCTCCAAGGATCCACGTCAATCATAGGCGGAATCCATTGAACAACTTTGGCCGCAGTCGACGGTTTAAACTCTCTGTACTCGGCAACTGACACGTCGGGTATCAGCGAAAATGAACGTTTAGCTTCGAGAATATCGTCTTTCTATACAAAACACAAAAATAACCACAAACAAATGTAAACAGTCCAATAGTGTTGGTAATAGTGTAATAATTTTAACAACTATCACCTTGATGACGGGTTCGACGCTGAATTTGTCCAAAACGTCATATACACGATCTACCAACTGTTGATCAACATTCACTTTGTACGATTTTTTCTTATGTAAAATATCAGATTTCTCCGTTGACGACATCGAGGACGAATAACCCTCCACGATGTCCATATGAAATAACTGACGTATGACCGAAAGCGAACATCTATTTGACGCGGCCAGTTTAGATTTTCCCGGTTGACAAGCGGCAACGTCTTTGAACGAGTAAAATTGTACGTAATAATAAAATAAAAAACTAGATAAAATAAGACTAGCCCATACTTACGTATGTCGAGTAGTTTAATATAAACGGAAATTTTTGCAGTGTAACAACATCTGTCGAAAAGAGTAATTTGTGATTGTCATTTATTATTTAATTACGCTTTACCCTACTCAACTAACTAGTTAATGTAAAAATAGAAATTTTACTTTTTCTCGATGGTCGCATACTTGAAATCGCAATTTTTTATCTCGTTCAACTTTGTGTAAATCATCAAATTTTTTTTCGCTATGTCTGACGTCCAATTGCCATGTTTGTTAGCATTTGCATCCAAGCAGTCTGTCTACAAATAAAGCGTTAAAATTTAGTTCTATTTACATATGATATTGATTTGTTACATTACAGTATAATTTATTTGGAATAATTAATTATTTGCAAATTTGTTATTTAAATTAAGTAAAATATTAAATTTAAGTTAAGTGTTAAAAAAGGTCAATTTTTTTTTGTATGCTGTTAGGTATTAAAATGATTTCAACTTTTGTTTAAATAAAAATTTATAAAATCGGTAATTGAAAACGTTAGAACATTTTATTTCATTCATCAACTAAAAGTTGAAGTGAAATTTGTATTTATTTAATTAATGCTCGGGTCTGGATTAAATAAATAATTTCGAAGGAATGTTTGTAAGATCGGTCTAGTTTTAAAATATTATTTCAAATTGTCAATACTATGTCTACAAAAATGTTGAAGAAAAAGTACCTTGTTAGGATATCTGGAAAAATTGACTTATTTACAAAACAAAAAAATCAATAGCTACCTCGTCGATATATATATTTTTTAGTTTTATTTTCTCGACAATCTTTACATATTCTTTATCGCCGGCATTTAATGTTACACTTGTGGGTTCAATAAGAGTACACTTTGATAATGGCTCTTTGATTCCCGACAAAGCTTTGCGGTCGAGTCCTAATTCTTTTTCTAAATATTCCATAAAATCTGTACAACACTGAGATATAGCATGTTTCCTCTTCTTACTAACTCCGATGGCAACATAATCGTGCCCTGGTACTGTGAGTTTACAAATTTGATTGTAGTTGTTTTTCATATCTGAAATTAAAAATAACTTGGATAAATATATTTTATTTGATGGTAAACCTAATGAAACAACAATATGAACCAATTCTATTAATATATTAAGTCAAATTGCACAGTACACAAGTAAAAGTGAGTAAGTCAAATTTTTAAAAAAAAAAAACCAAGTCAAAGCTTAAAATATTGTAATAGTACAGAACGTAGGATTTTTTTATTACTTAATCATTTTTTTTTAATCAAATAGAGCGTCCACATATGACGTTTTTCAATGGCAATGCGCCATAACCTGTAGGAGACAACGAAATGAAGTCCATCCGTTTTTTTATTTAATTTAAATAACAAATATGTGTAAACAACTTTTATAGAAATATATAATATTTTTTCAAATAATATTCATATCTAAAAGATTAACTTTTTTTTTTTAATAATACCAAATTGTGTTACCTACCTATTATGAAATAGAATGATGGTGCCACTTTAGAGGAAAGTTCATGTCTGTTTTTTTGACATATTAATTATTCTGCTTGATAATGTACAAAAAAAATAATAGCTTTTTTTCTAAAAAATATTATTAAAAATGGATAATATCGCTTTAAAAAGTTATCATCATTTTTATTTAATAATACTGAAAAGCTCATCTTTTAAGTTTTTAGAAAAAAAAATTTCATAGCTCATTTTCCATAAGTATTAGGTACTTTTTGACTTACTCTCGATACCTATGCACCGTTCAATTAAAGTTTTTAGCATTGCATTTGGATCGTATGTTGGGCAATAATAATATTTTATAATTATTGATTCTATAAGGTAAAACCGTTTATTACAATTCATTTACTGAGCAATTTTACCTAACCGAAAACTTTTTTTTATTGAATATTACTTTTATGTCAATTTGTGAACTGCAAAAATGTTGTGAGTGGGTGCATTATCAATAACACGTTCGAGCCATAAACATTAAACGTAAATAACTTCTAAACTACTTTTGAAAGTGCAATATGATTGCAGACTTAAATTCAGCATAAAGAATAGTACCGATTAAAAAAAAAGTAGATTTTTAGGTATAATTGCACTTTATCAAGCACCTTTTTTTTTTGCCAATTTATTGTGGTTTTTACGCTGATTTTGAATCTGTCATCAGAAATCCGCAGACTCTTCTAGTTCAAAAGTTATAGTTGCAGCAGCTCAGCAACGTTTGCGACAATTATTGTGTTTTGTTTTTACATAACAAATAACAGCTGTAACTTTTGAACTAGAAGAGTCCTCAGATTTCTGATTACAGATTCAAAATACTAAAAACATAGCAAAAAGAACCCAAGTCAAAACTAACAGGTATACATTCGAAAATGTATAGACTTCAATACAGACAAGACAATAAGTTAATTATAAATTATTCATTTTAATAAAATTAAAGACTGAATAAGAATAAAAAACTAAATACCGTCATGATGGAAGTTGAATTTCGGATTCAAGTTGTTTTGGGCACACCATTGATTCAATAACTTTTCAGATTTAGACGTTTTTCGCTCCGGCATGTTTTAGGTAGACAAACACAATGCAACGGAAAAATCGACAACTATAATACTGTAATAATAATAGGTGAGCGCGATTGCCGATTGTTAGTTATTAAAATAAGTAAATTAAGCGCAACGTTCAATAAATAGAACAAACAACAGAATGCAGATAGAATAAAACAATATAATATATATATGAGCTTTTTTAATTACTATAATACAACAACATATTTAATCTTTAACAAAACAAAGTTTATTATAATAATGCGCATCGCTCCGCCGGTATTCGGTAACCGTCAACGTCTATCGACTTTTTGCCATGGCAATGTAGACAGGTGTGCTGACAATTCGTGTTATCAATTATTATCATGACACGGCAGTCGGGGTTGTCCCGCGAGACATACACATGGCCAGCGGCCATTTTGCGTTTAACACGACCTGCCGGCTTACCTGTTACTTACATTGCTCTCCGTGGTCGGCGCATGTCAGTGTTACCGACAAAAATCAATATTTTAAGAATCAGTGTAGGCAACGTCATGAAAAATTATTATATACCTTAAAATGTTTGGACCTTGGTGGGGTTTTTAAATGAATAAAATAGATTAATAATTCAACGATTAATACAGGCTAAATGCACAAGACTATGATCTCTGTAAATTAAATACGTTTACATTGAACAAGCAAAGTTAAAATAGTTATAAATTGAATGATTATCTAATATTTATTATCCCAAATTTAACTATTATTAACGTTCAAATCTTTATTGTATGCGTTTTACATTAACAATTTTCTATAAATAACAATAGCTTCGAAAATATAAAAACAACTTCAATCTAAAACATTTATTATTTCCAAGTAAAAGTTGTTGGTACACCAGCTAACACTACGACAGTTGTATTCTACAACTGTAGGTATATCATGTAATACAATTAACATGGCTGTCTAACAAGTAAATTTAAGAGTAAATTGCTAACCAATCACAAATAGATGAGAAAAAAATCCGTTAAAATTGAATCAGACTGTAATACTGTACGGATCCATTGCAGCGCAGACAATTTAGCTGAGAAATAAAAACTGCCTTTATATCCCCATGGGGGGCATTCCAATTTGTAGCCGAGGCAACAGTCAGTTAAATATATAAAGAAAAGTTGACTACAGTTAAATTTTAACTAAAAAAAAAAAAAAAAAAACCAAAAAAGGAATACCAATGTATGTATTTCAAAACCATTATATATATATATATATAAAAAAAAAATGTCCTTTCAGTAAAAAATCTGTTACCATAACAAAACAATAAATAAATAAAACAATTTTGTTTTTGAAAACTATCATTAGGAACACAAACATAAATAAAATATAACATGGAATGAAAAAAACGAAATACTGATTATAAAATAAAAAACGGTTTTAGTAAAATATTGGGAAAAAAATATTAGTCTTTGCTTCATTTATTTTTTCGTTTAACCTAATATAATATTGTTGGTGTTAGTTTCGCTCTTTTTTTGCTCGTTACAACCGACGTAATTGTTGCACCTGTAAAAAACCAACATACTCATTAATAATTAGTCGAACGTTGACATTTCAATGTATATCGCATACTTCTTGTCAAATTCAATTGCAGGAAGACCGCATCTTCCGGCATTGAAATTACAAAGGTCAACCAATATTTGTATGAGGCGTTGGTCGGTGTTTGATCGAAATAAGACACATCTAGGATTTTCGGTAATTTGTACCATTATCTCTTTGATGGCTAGACGCAATGCTACGATAGCAGCAGCAGTTTTAACGTCCATTTTTAATTTAATCCTTTTAAACGGACAAGGGTTAATTTTAATATATGTTGTTTTATGTGTACTTTACAAATAAAATGGTGTATAATAATACGAACCAGCTATCTATGATCACCCGACCGTTGTAGTATTCAATTGTACGTGCACCAAATAACAACAAATGTATCGGCGTGACCATACTAGTTTGAACACATTGTAACTGATGGGAACGAATCTAGAAACACAAATTGTTGAAATGACACATTACAGATAAAAAGTTTTTATTAAATAAAAAAAAAAACTTATATACTAATTACAAATATTGAGACTTATAATAAAATGTCAAATATAGTAAATAATAATATATTTTCACCCTTTCGGCGAAAACGAAGAACGGCGATGCAAATTGATCTTCCTTGTCTTCTTGACAATTTATAGATCCCTTTTTAATGTAAGCAATTTCTTTACCTTCAGTTAACATCTATAAAATAATAAAAATAAATAATATACCAAAGAGCCCAACACGGTTTATAAAAGAAAAACTACACAGTAACAAATATTATCCGAAATATAGGTAATGTGATGTTTAACTTTTAAAGTCTCATTTTAGTTTTAGTCCATGCGACATGATGACAAGTTTTTTGACCTTATAGTCTATAGAAAAACTATTTCGAGTTGGTTAAAAAAAAAAAAAAGTACAGCCCATCATCTTTTAAAATTAAATATTTATAAGTTTATCTTGAAACGACGACTGCTACCCTAGATTTATCGAAAAAGTATTAAGCGGAAATACAACTATTTCAAACGAACATAAAATCTAAAAATTTAGATTGCACCCAAAAATCTGTACAGAAGTAGTAAAAAAAAAAAAAAAAAACATACAAGTTTGTACAAAAAAGAAAAGTTTGCATAAAGTACTGTCAAATTAATACATTCTTCATGAGAAAAAAAATTAAGAATGCGGACAAATAATACTTTATAACAAGATCAAAACCTTAAGAATCATTTTTACAGTAGAGACTACTTACTTTGTTACTAGTTAAATGGTAGCCGATATTGGGATAAAACCCAACAGTTAAAATTGCCGATAGTAAATCCAATTTTGAATCGTCAACGCCTTTTGTTTTGTCATAATCAAAATCTACATAACTCATGCAGTCACGAGGAAATTCCATTCTGGACATTTTACTAATCAAACTCTCCTAAAAATGGACAAGTAAAGAAAAATAATACTCTATTTAGAATTAGAACTTGCCTTAATTCTTCGCGTGACAACCATCGAAGTGTAGTTTAACATGTTCACTTCTACAAAATTCCAGTCAGATAATTGATTTTTATTCTTATATTCCCATTGGTAATATATGTTCAAAATAGCTACTTGTGCCGAACAACGATTTCCAGAAAATTTACGTTTGACTAGTTCCAGGTTTTTACCTAAATACGATAACATATGAAAATTATTATACTAATTAGTTATTACATAAGATAACCACTGGTACTTACCTCGATTGAAAAAATCAGATTGATCCGCATGGGTCGCAGCTATTAGTGCTAAAGGCTCGCCTAGATTGAAAAATGATCCCAACACTATCATCCGGGTATACCGCGCCTCTATTGGTAATTTTGCTGCGATTAACCCGAGCCAAGTGAGTTCCAAATTTTCTCCGATGCACTCCAATTCTAAATGAAAGAAAAAATTAAATTTTAATTATTTATTCGTCCAAGAATACAAAACAGTGGACACTATATCAGTTGAACGGCATAAGACAAAGATCAAAATCACCTTGTAACATACGTATAGCCTGATTTATAGTGTCTTCGGCGGGAGGTTGCAGCGCTTTGTTGAAAAACGATTTGATATCGCCTAGTCGCAACAATTTAATTTTCAACGCAATTTCGTGCAAAGGTTTCCACAAAATGGGCGGTTCTAAATGATCATCCATTCTGTAGTAACGTTCCTAAAATTTTTTTTAAAAATATTAGTCAATAGTGTAGGTATTAAAATACGATATGACTTCTTTAAAATGTTATATAATTTATTATGTTTGATACGTAGTCAAAGATTTAATTTACACCTTTGTACACAGAAGAAAACAATATCCCGGTCTGACGCGGCCGGCACGGCCCATCCGTTGCTTTCGGTTAGCTTTAGATTCCCAAAAGGTAGCGTATTCACTTGTATTGTTGTGAGCAGTAAACAAATTCAACCTTCTTTTTCCATAGTCAATGACAAACACTACGTCTTCTATAGTTATTGAAGTCTCGGCAATATTTGTTGCCAAAATAACCTGAACAAATAAATAAAACAAACAAAAAGCCAGAACAGTGGGTTTTGACATAGTTGTGCGACTGAGCATATTATGATCAGCAAGGTTACAGGTGTTCAGGAATTAATTTAACTGAAAGTGAGGAAATCGCTTACAAATAAATTTTTTGATGCAAAATACGGGAAAAATTATCAAACATAAATCACTTTTGTCTTAATAATCAAATTATTTGGATTTTACGGTTAAAGTTTTTGAAATGTCAATAAAATTGTGCAGTTTTTTTTTTGGGGGGTTTCTTTATTAAAAAATAGTTTGAAGACAGATTTTAGAAAAACAGATCTTCAGTCTAATTATTAGGTATTATAAAATAGTAACACTACATGTAAAAACAAAAATTAAAGAAGTAGTTACTGTTCTAAGACCAATACATTTTGCACTCCGCATCGAAACTGAAAAATGCATTACATGTTTCAATCATACCATAAACAAATACTACCTTTCGTACACCGGGTCCAACAGGTTCAAACACTTTTCGCTGTTCACTGGTACGAAGGTTTGCGTGAAGTGACAAAATGCGGAATTCTTCGCAATTTTCTGAAACAAACATATTTTTTTTTTTTAAACAAAACCAAAAACACTGCTTGATTAGTTGTAGTTACCGAAATAAGGATTTTTCATTAAGCGTTTATACAATCCGTTGATTAGTTCTATTCCCGGTAAAAATATAAGAATTGCACCAGGTATGTTACACATTTCTTCGTTTGTCACAATGAATTTGATTAATGTCTAAAACATAACAAAAAGAGTTAAGTAAAATTAATACTTTGTTCAGCTTCGATATCAAATCGACTGACTTACTTCTACAAGTTCGAAATGATTATCGTATTCACTAATCATTGCTACTCTTTCTCTTACTTCTGCAGGATAATCTTCGGACACTAACACATTGCAGTTGTCTTCTTGGTTTTTAATTTTTTCCCTTATCCTTTTGGTAGTTTTCGGTTGAAAATCTATCTTTTTAACAATGTCTTCCAGGAAATATTCTGATGGTATTAATAGTAACAATATAACTAATTTTGTTACATAAAAATCTAGTGGTTTAACTCTACCTTCTACAGGATGACATGTTCCTTCAACTTCAATAACTGGACAGTCGTTAAAATAACTGCTGAATAATTTGATATCCAAAGTGGCCGACATCAAAATAACCCTGAGTTCTGGATACATGTTGACCATATCCTTCAGCACGATCATAAAAAAATCCGTATGGGTATGTCGTTCATGAACTTCATCCACTATTATATGGGATATTCCGTGCAAACCAGATTCCATTTTGAGCATCATAATACCTTTATAGAATGATGTTTAAATTTTAAGTGTTATACGTAGTACAAATTATTAGATTTATATCAATTGTGGGCAATTTTTATTTAAATAAACAAAAATGTATATATTGAAATTTTATTATCTTATTTTGTAAATTTGTAATTAAGGGGATTGCATATGATCTGTTTTTTTGACGTTTTAAACCCAAAATCCAGAAAAAATTTCAACTACATAGGATGGTCTAATTTAAATTCTATAAAGAGATTCGAATTCTTTGGCTACTTTACTATGTTATGTAGGAAGCCAATTTTTCATTTAAAAATTCGATTTTTTTTATATATAAAAAAAAATAAAAAAATCTGTTTCTTACATAACCTAGAAATTAAGTAAATACTAAAATGATAATTTAGTCAAAAATTAAAATAGGTAAAAAAGTGATTTTTGTGAAAAAAAAGGGACTTTTTAAAAGATTTGTATTTTTATAATTAATTATTCAGATATTTTTTTAAAAATTAGTTTTTAAATAAAATTATTATAAGTTTTTAAATTTTACCATCAGTGCAGAATAAAATTGAACCGTAATGTCGTGGAATGATTGAATCAAATCTAATGGAATAACCAACACTCTCTCCTAAACATTCTAATCGTTCTTCGGCAACTCTTTCGGCCACAGAAATAGAAGATAATCTTCTAGGTTGCGTGCAAATAATGTTGCAATACGCTCCTTTCTTTTTGGTCACATAATCATCGAGTATATACTGGCAAACCTAAAATAGAAGGAGTACTATAAAGTATAAACTTCAAAATCCAAAAACCCAAATTTTATGTTTTTCAATCCTGTTTTTTTTTTAAACAAATCTAAATCAGAGTTTTAAAATTTGAAATCCGCATTTATAACACATGTCTGAGTTTGGATTTGAAAACCCAGCAAAGTCTACATGCTTATTTTTTTTTTGATATTATCCTTTGATAGATAGAAGTATCTATATATATCTTACTTTAATCTGTCAATATCATATCCAATATCAACAAGTTATTCTGGGTGAATCAATTATACAAATACATTTTAAATTAAAAATAAAATATATTTTAGAATATACAAGTGAATATTAATTGGATATATATATATTTCAATTTAGATAAATACACAAAAATTTGTTTTCAGGTTTAAAAAAACAGAAATCATCAGCATTGTAATACACAAAATTTGGATTCTCAAACTTTGGTAAATCGTAATTTTTACCACCACTACTATAAACACACAATAAATATCATGGCCTAATCGCAGTAGTCGTAATTGCATAAATGTACTTTAGTTTGCCTTGTACAATAATAATTAATCATAAATTACCTGCGTAGTTTTTCCACAACCCGTTCCTCCTTGGATTATGACTACAGAATTATTTCTGATCGCTTCGAGAATTTCGGTTTTTTTCGAGTACACCGGTAACTTACTGCGATGAGCCATACTTCTGGCAATATCATTTTTTGTATCAGGACAATTCAGCTTAGCTTCATATTCCTTAGCCAGCTGCACACTAATATCATCCAGGGTAGTCTGTAATCACGAGTAAAATGAATGCATTAAGTACAATAATTTGAATGCGCATTTGGAATTTTCACTTTAAAAATGTAATTAAAATGTTGTTAAAATATGATCGATATATTCCAACAATACGACAATGATTTTTAAACATTTTAATATTTTCTTTAAGAGAACGATACGATCAATAATCATTTACACAGAGGTTGTTCAGTAAAAAACAAACAAGTTCATTATAAATAAAATATAAATGATAAATAATTGTAATTTAGGGTACAAACTATAACTTTGTTTGTAATATCTTAAAAAAAAAAATTATGTCTGAATTTTGAGAAGTTTAATTCTATACAGTTTTATACAAATATCAAACTGAATTTTCATACAGTACTAGATACTAAAGAGCTAATTCTATTAATAATGATTAAAGTTTAAATTCACTTATAAAACAAATAACAAGCATACATACTCTAATGTACACTCCGTGCCTATTAACAGTTCCGGACCAGCAATTGAAACCCAATTCAATAGGCGACCAAGGTATAAAACCAGTTGCGTTTGGCGGTATGAGCTCTTTAAATTTTGCACGTTCTAAATTTGGTATTAAAGATATTGAATTGTCACAATTTTCGTCTACCTACGTATTAAACAAATTACAATCATTTTAGAACGTAGAAAATTAAAACGCCCTCATATTACCTCAATAGGTTTAATATTCAGCTCTTCAAGTACAGCCTCCAAACGGTCGACAAGTTCTTTATTGACTTTGACTTCGTAATCAATCTCAAAATCGGCGTATTTTATTTTGTCGTCATAGTCTTTTATAACACCTAAATGGTAAAGTTGCCGAACCACCGATAGGGCGCACCTTTTAGTGGCTTTTTTGGTACTTTTATCCGGTTGCCAGCCAGTTACATCTTTGAAAAGAGAAAATAACTTTATGGTTTACTTAATTGTTTAAGTACACAATCGGAAATTAAGTTGTTCATAAATAAGATAATTACACGTATTAAGGTGTGTAATAAACAACGTCAGTTCAGCCACGTAACACCTGTTGTAGTCTAATATTAAAATATGTACTTAAAACATTCATACCTCGAATCCAGAATATATTTATATATATTACTTATATCCAATAACATAGTATTTGTAATTGCAGTTAATTTCATTTGACGACATGAACCACTCGAGTTGTTTTTTGGCGTTTCTTGTTGTCCAGTTGCCGTTTGAGTGAGCCGTATCATCAAAACAGTCAGTTGTGTCCTAAAATTAAAAAAACATTAACACTTTAAAGATGAACAATGTCTAACTCTCTGTCTTTTTGGAAAAGTGTTGTTATATTAATAAGTCATAAATAGAAATATTAAAAAAAAAGCTACAAATTATAATTAATAAAGAATTAAAGAGATAGTAATGAATTTACTCGAAGTACAAAATCTTCCTGTTCGCTCAACCTCAATAATGATAGTAGATACTGATTGTCAATTGATATGTCTTTTGATAATTTATAATAAGAATAGTAACCTTTCAATTTTATGTATTCGTCAGAAAGACATATATTACTCTGAAAATAATTAAAGATGATGGTTATTATTATTTTAAAATTTTTATTTTTTTAACACTTACTTCTAATAACTTATTACAATTTGGTTCAATCGTGTTGTTTAAATATTTAATGAAGTCTAAGCATGAATTTATTTTAGCATCCGATAAAGTGTTACCAATACCAATACCGACAAAACAAATTTCTGGTATAGTTAGTTTGGCAATTTGATAGTAATCACTATTGAACTCTGTAACAATTTAAAACAACATAATATTATTTCAGGAATTTTATACAAAAAAAAAACAAATTCTCATGAATATAACATATCCATCTGTTTTTTTTTTTATCCACTTTTTGTGTTTTCAGAGTAAGACATCATAGGAATAAAATATTATTTAATAAGGTTAGAGAATATTAAGATAAAAAGTTACAAGTGAATTTTAAAAATTTGTATAATTATTCAGTATTTCTTTTTTTTTGACACTACAAATAATGGTTAAGTTGTAATTTTAATTTTATACTTTTAAACTTTAAGTTATACTTAGCTAAATATTAAAAACTTTTTTTATAGTGGATTTTTAATTAACATTTTTTGGTGAAACCAGAATTTACTTGCACAATAACTCAGATAAGTAAATCGGATTGGCGAATAAAATGGTGTTGTCTCTGTATAAATGCATTAATACTATATTATACATAGATGTCTATTACTATACAGCTTGTATACTATAATTAGACAACCACCAACATAGTTAAGCATTTCAAATATTTTTTTACCGAAATGAACATTATATATAAAAATATATATATATATTTTAAAACAAAATGTATAAAATTAAGGAATATTTTATTATTTATTTGTTTGGATGTCTAAGAAATAATAATAGATTCAGTTTGTTTAAATGTAAAATTGTGTTTAAAAAAAGGGGTTATAATTTTTAATGTACTTTATCTTAAGAATAGATATTTCGTACAAATCTAATTTGGCTATTTTTGAAAATGTATAGCAAGCCATAGCTTTAAGTTGAAGAATAAGAAAATTTTTCTCGATTTTAATAGGGAATGAGGACTTTTTTTTTTTAAATGTCTTTTATGTGTGATTTCTGATCCACGAACTAGCTACAAAATTGGTCAAGCAGTTTAGAAGACGTCACTAAAAATATCATTGCAAAAATACGTATCAAAGCTAAGGCTATTTGAGAAAATTTAAAATTTTGAAATTGATTTTTTAAATAATTTTTTTATATATTAGATAAATTTGAAATTATCAATATATAGTTTTTCGTTTTTACAAAAATAAACAAATTATATATTATTGGTCGATGATTGCGGATAACAAAGTATAAGTTGTGCGTACCGTTTTGGCAGAATTCAAATTTTGGTTGCAATTCGTAAGTCGAACATATTTTGCGTATTAACGTCTCGGCTTCTGACACGCTCTCCACAGAATCGTCCATCCTAAATTATTAAACTGCAACAGTTTTAATAAAAAATGTTCACGAGACGACTTGTAAATCATACGGTGAAAACTTGGGTAGCCGAATGCAGTGAATATTTTAGAGAAAATATAAAGAAGGAACCATTGACAAAAAAAATCACAATAACGATTAGTTCGGGTCGGTTTAGTTCGACCGAATGGCGATAATAATATTATAATAAACTGCAGACATTATTAAGACTGTCGTTTGTTAAATGATTGATAATATTATGATGGCTCATCGATAAACAAAACAAAGGAAACGCATTAAGTCGATACAGCCGTCTAGCAAAACCCACAAAAACGGGCGGTAATTTTGAAAGAACAAAAACACTTCACAGGACACAGTGTGACCATATTATATATTAAAAATAAAAGTCCGTCCATTGTCCGCCTGCAAATCATAATGACATGCATATTTTATTGAAATAAATTATTATTTACTGTCGTTTAATTGATTCGGTTTCACTGATTGACAGTTGACACCGTAATACCTCTGCGGAATTCAAATGGGCAACTTTACAAATTCGGTATGGACTGGCAATTTTCCAGGCAGCTGTTTACAATAATAGTAAATGCGTTTATAGCTCTTTAGTTTTTACAAATTCAAATAATAAAATACCTATTAAAACATCTAGAAAAAACTGTTAAGCAAACTTATGGTTAAATATATAGTAAAGATATAAAATCTACTTGAACCCTAAACCATAAAAATTATACACTTCTCGCAAGAAGTGTATAATTTTTATGGTTTAGGGTTCAAGTAGATTTTATATCTTTACTATACCTATTAAAATACTAGGTATTCACACCAAAGCAAAAAAAAAAAAAAAAAATATCTCATTAAATAAATAATGGCAATAAAATACACAATTATTTTTTGTTTACTTAAGGTACACTTGCATTTTTTTGCGATTTACGTTCAAAACATGTTTGCATGATATACAAACAGGGAATGGGCAGCAATCTTAAGTAGTTTCAGTTAACGTACGATTATAACTAAACATAGTTGTTAGTTTAATTTTTTTTAAAAGGAATAAAACAGTAGTATTTTAACAAAATGTTTTACAGTGTGCTAAATTGCTGTATGATGTTTTTAACAATCAGCAATCGGCAAATGTTGATATCGTGTAACGACAATGAAGATCTAATTTTTAGACTCAACGGCATACTAAGCAATCCTGGATGGCGGTTAATAGACCACATCAAAGGCAAACACCGATGCTCTGCAAATTCATTTTCCGGCATTGATCTGTTTATACCCATCGAAGAACCCGATAGTTTCTATGTAAGCGACGAAAATGTCAACGATAAATACTCGATGACGGCTCGGTTGATTGAATGTGTGTACGCAAAGGCTATCTTGGATTATTTATCCTTCATTCTATTTATTGTACACGAAAGCTCACGCGAGGCAAAACGTGTGAGTAATGGGCTCCGTGGTCAAAGGCATCGCCAAAAAACCTCTAAGGCAAAACGTCCAGGAGCTAAAGAATGTCCTTTGACAAGAAAACCGAGAGCTAAAACTGATTTCAACTATGACAGATTTTGGTGTATGCTCGATTTAGCGTTGACTCAAATAAAAAAAAGTCACGAGATGTTTGACTGTATAACCGACGCGTTGAGTTTTCTAGAAAAATCGTTGAATAAATTACGCGAAGGCCGGTCGGATGTAAATATAGAGCTCATAAAGAGAAGTGTATTTCTAATCCGCAAAGCGAAGCAAACGTTAAAACGGTACAACAACGAAAACCATAATAAATATAATGCGAACATTTCGAGAATTCCCGTTGTGTTGGAAAAATATTTAAATTACTATATAGTAAACAAATTGAGTCTTTTTACAGACGAATGCTGTGTGATACTACAATCCGCAAACACAAGCGACCCTCAGACTTTAAGTGAGCATCAGGGCTACATCATTCATTCCGTTAAAGATGCTCAATTAGCAATTGAAAATCTCATAAACCAGGTCATCAATAACTACTACCGAAAATTAGGTTTTCTAAAAGAAGAACTACTGCCGCAAATCACATAACGTAGTTTGTTGTATACCGAAATAATATATTATATAATAAGATATCATTTTTTTTTTCTGTTAAACTTATTAATAATGTATAATTAAAGGTCTTTTTAATAATCTAATACTGCAGTTGACTATTAATAATTAAAAAAAATTATTTTTAATAAACAATTTAATTAAAAATGACTAGCGCTTTATAATGTTATATTTATTAGATTTAAATTTATAACAATATTTTCAAATACAATATATTTTTGCGTTTAGTTTTTAGCAGACTTGTTTCACAGTGTATATTCAATGGCATAAATAAAAAACATCATCTATGTGGGTACAGTATGATATTGGCGTACATAATATAATATATATAAATAACTATCAAAAACTAGGTTTCCTAAAAGAAGAAAAACTACCGTAATATCACAGCACGTTTGTTGTATTCTGAACGTATATACTAATATATATATATATATTATAATGGATATCATATAATTTTGTAATACGTATTATCTAATACTGCGGTTGTTATAATATTGCTGTTAATTAATAGTTTTTAAAATAGGCTTTATAATAAATAATTTAGATAAATATAACCAACGATTTATGATACAATTTAAATGCTTTTATGTCCATATGAATGAATGTACTTTCATGAGATTTTAATTGCTAATAATATTAACAGATATATCTAGGCGTTTAGTTTTTAGCAGACGTGTTTCACAGTGTAATCAACTGCATAACAACGTACGATCATAATTTAGTACTAAATTTATTTTTAATAAAAAAAAATGTATTCAATATTGCACTATTATTTGAATAGTATGTTTAACAATGTATCAATTGGCTTTCTGATTTGGTTAATTATTAGTAATCAGCAGATGTTGATATCACGTAACGACGAAGAAAAACGATTTGATAAACTTAACGCTATACTAAGCCAGTCTGGATAAAGTAGATTTTTTTTTTTTTAAATAATAATACAGCAGTATTTGAATAATATGTTTTACAGTGTGTCAAATGGCTTTATGATGTTGTTAATAATTAGGAATTTGCAAATGTCGGTACCGTGTAACGACAATGAAGATCTAATTTATAAGCCATTCTGGGTGGAGTCGGATCGACCATATCAAAGGCCAACACCAATGCTCTACAAATTTATTTTATGGCAATGACACAGATTATATGAAAACAGATTGTTCAATTGGGCCTATTAACAATAGAATTGAAAATAAGGCTCTGTGATTGGCCCGCCAAAATCAGTGTGACCGTCTGAAGGGAATTTGTTTTTTACCGTGTTCGCGGGCTTTCGCATTTGTTAAATAATTGAGTTAAACAGAACGTTTCTCTTGTATTTACTAAAAATTGTATAAATATAGTTAACCATTATGATAATAATAATGATTTAATAGATAAGGCAAACTTATTTGTAACTGATCTAGAAATGAGATTCACTCCTCATCCTGACATGCCTGACAATGAACACGTTAGTCACGTTGAATCCACTCTCTCCCAAATTTTCCCTATGTCACTACTAACCAAACATACCCTGTTCTTCTGAAATACATTATATCATTAAGAATCTTCCCAGTAACAAGGCTCCTGGACATGACATAATAACAAAAATTTACCAAAAAAGCTATTACTCACTTTTCACACATCTTTAACTCTATCCCCCGCTTATCATACATCTCATCTTCTTGGAAACACTCGGTCATTATCCTAATTCATAAACCCGGCATGCCCTCGCATCTTCCCACTTCTTATAGACCAATTAGCCTACTCCTCTCGGTCTCTAAAATCCTTGAAAAAATCATAATCAAAAGAATCTACCCTACTATAACCTAAAAAAAAATTATTCCAGATACCCAATTTGGTTTTAGAAGCAATCATTCAGCCCTTCATCAAGTACATAGAATTGTAGACAACATTGCCTATTCTCTAGAAAAAACATTTTTGTTCAGCCTTATTTCTTGATATAGCTCCGGCGTTTGATCTTGTATGGCACAAAGGACTGCTCTACAAAATTCGTTTCCTTTCCATTGCTCCAAACCTTACTTTAAACTCTTTCCTCTCACAATGTACGTACCAAGTGCGATTCAATATTCATTGACGTTACATGATATCAACATATTATGCCGATTAACAAAACCAGAGAGCCAATTGACACATTGTAAAAATTGTATTCCAAAAATAGTGTAATATTGATACATTTTTTTTAAAAATTAAAAATAATTTCGATACTAAATTGATACTTTAGTTATATACTTTTATTAATAATTGTTACTTATGTAACTTAATTGTTATATTTATTATTTACCAACACTTATGTATTGTTCTTGTAAAATGCCGTCAGGCGTAGAAATAAAACATATAATCATACATTAACAGCTGTAACTACTGAAGGTTGCTGTAGGTATACCATTTTAAAACCATACACTTGCATTTTTCGTACGTCACAAACAAATTCAAGATTACCTTAAGTAAATTTTAAAGCATAAGTTTACGTCGACGAGTTTTTATAAAGAATGATTGGTTTATTTTTAAATTGATTGGCAACGGCAACTGTTGTTATGCCATTGAATATACACTGTGAAACACGTATGCAAGAAACTAAACGCATAGATATATTGTATTTGTAAGTATGGTTAGCAATTTATATCTAATAAATATTGCATTATAAAGCGTTAGTTATTTTTAATTAATTTGTTTATTGAAAATAATAAGTTTAACAATTATTTATAGACAACCGCAGTATTAGATTATTAAGAAAATCGTTATTTATATAAATAATAAGTTTAACAAAATTACATTAATATAATATTTCGGATTACAACAAATTACGTTATGTGATTTTACATTACTATTTCTTCTTCTTTCGGGACAACTAACTTTTGGTAGTAATTATTGATGTCCTTGTTTTTTAGATTTTCACATTCTAATTGAACGTCTTCAACGGAATGAATGATACAGGCCTGATGCACACTTAAAGTCTGAGGTTCGCTTGTGTTTGCGGTTTGTAAAATTTCGCAGTTTTCGTTTGTAAAATGAATCAATTTGCTCAAATATATGATATTTCAAAAATTTTTCCAACAAAAAGGGAACTCTTGAAATTTTTTAATTGTATTTATTATGGTTTTCGTCGTTGTATTGTTTCATAGCTTGCCTTACGTTACGAATAGAAAGCTTCTCTTTATAAGCTCTATATTTGAATCCGACAGGCCTTCACGTAATTTGTTAAACGATTCTTCTAAAAAACTCAACGCATTGGTTATGCAGTCAAACATTTTGTGACTTTTTTTTATTTGACCCAACGCTAAATCGAGCACATCCAAAAATCTGTCATAGTTCAAAACAGTTCCTATAGCTTTTGGAAAATATGCCTTGTTGGTTTTATAGTAATGCCTTCGGACACGGAGCTTATTACTCACACTTTTTGCGTCACGTGTGCTTTTGTGTACAATAAATAGAATAAATGATAAATTATCTAAAATGACCTTCGCGTACACACATGCAATCAATTGAGCGGTCATCCAGTATTTATCGTAGAAATTTTCATCGCGCTTACATAGAAATTATCGGGTTCTTCGATGGGTATAAACAGATCATTGCCGGAAAATGAATTTGTAGAGCACTGGTGTTTTCCTTTGATATGGTCGATTTCACTTCATCCAGGATTGCTTAGTATGACGTTGGGGCTATAAACTAGATCTTCATTGTCGGTACATGATATCAACATTTGCCATTTGACTCACTGTAAAACATTTTATTCAAACAGTACTATATTATTCTTTTAAAAAAATATATATAATTAACAACCCATTCCCTATTTGTAAACTATCCAAAACATGTTTCAAACGTTTAACACAAACATGTGTATGTTTACTTTAAGTAGACTGTAAATAACTGTACATTTCATTGCCTGATTTTAGTTTTACATTACATTAAAAATTCTTGCATTTTTAAAGTCTTTAATTTAAAGTGGGTCGTTAACATAATATGTCCAATACCATTATTCGATTAATATTACACTTGTGTAATTAAGAAAAAACCAATAAAATGTATTATTTTGTTGGACAATGATGGTTTGTTGAGCCAGTCGATTATTACTATACTATAGTGTATAACCAATGATTATTGAATAAACAAATAAGCGTTGCTATATATAAAATTGTCAACCTACGTTGTATGGTATTCTAGCTGGCGACGGAGGTACCCTTGATTTAGTTTACTATCCGACCGCCCATAAACTATGTTTGCTTTAAGCTATGTATGTTCAGAGTGTAGATTAAGTTTAAATTAGCAAACGATCATATGAAGAGCCCAGGGGAAAAACGGTAGTAGTCACATTATGAAAATTTTAAAGTATAGCAAAAACAAAGTTCATGAATTCCTCTCCCTCTTACATAAGAAAAAAAAATCACATTAAATGCTACTCTAATAATTAATGTGCTTATTTAAACAATCTATTGACATAAATAAAACAAATTAATGGCATAAATTGAAAAAAACTATTTGAAAAAAAAAATGTTCATAATGTGATTACTACCGTTTTTCCCCTGTGCCCTTTATATCGATTATCATTAAAGTTTTTTTTTGAATGCAGTTGAAAAAAACGTTAGCAATTAAAAGACTTGAGTATCGTTAAGTGTAGGGTGCTAGGAAAATCGATTGTATGTTTTTCGTAGATCGTAAACCTAAGAAGACTAAGTTTTTAAATTAAATTTGTACTATTTTGTGTTTTAACTTATAAATATATAAACATAAATAAAAATAAACTATAGAAAAAATGTATACTTATTTCATACTGTATATGGTGGTTTTGTTACTCTTTGTTATTTGCGTTAGTCTGGTCGGGCTACTATAATAATGATCTTCTGATATTACAATATACAAAGGCAGTATACATTTGCCTGGATTCATCGGGTCTGCCATCGACAGAATTTCCAAATGCCAATTAAAAAATTGGTAATGTGATCTTTCAACGTTAATATTGGTCGAAAGTGAAAAGACACTTGATGCTATAGCATATCCTTTGAAATATGACAGTTTTTGGCATGTACTCGATTTAGCGTTAGGTCAAATAGAAAAAAGTCGCAAGATGTTTGACTGCATGACCGATTAGTTGAGGTTTCTAGAAGAATCGTTGAACAAATTACGTGAAGGCCCGTCAGATTCAAATATAGATAATAATGAATAGTGTCATTCTAATCCGTGACGTGCATCTAATTTGAATAAAATACACCGATGTTAAACGTAATAAATACAATTGGCAAATTTCGAGAATTCCCATTCTAATGGAAATATGGATTATTTATTATGGCTATCATGACTCTTACCGTAACACTGTCACCTCTTCGACCCGACCTATGATTCGTCTTCCGTCTGTGGTATCTACGAGTATTTTTAGTTTTAGATTCACAGTGCATGTTATGATGTTAGCTTAGTCAGTGTAATAACAATACTATCAGCTAAATGTTTAACGTATGAATACTAAAATTGTGCCTATAAAAACACAATAATAAAACAAGCAAAAATATCTAGTAGTTTCATTCTAATCTGTAACGTGAAGCTAACTTAAAACACTACAACGACGAAAACCGTAATAAATACAATTGGCACATTTCGAGTTTATATTTTGTGTTTCGACACAAGTGTTCCTATTTAAATAACATATTGCGCGTTTTGCTTTTCGAACGAGCAACACTTGTATTCCGATTTCGAGTGCCGAATTTACGCGTTGTGTTTAATAAATATTGTATCATGAAAAATGTTTTTGCTAATATCGGCTGTGTTTTTAAATAAATTAATAGGTCACGTGCAAGCTGCGACTTGTACGTCGTTTGGCAATGGATTTTACTAATCAGCCGGGCAATGCTTACACGGTGCCAAATCAAACTGTTATTGTCCAAGCAATTTTGGAGGGAATATAAAATTTAAATTTAAGAAAAGTAGTGTTGAAAATAAACAACATTTAAATAGTTGTTTAACACGCAAAAAAGCTTCTGGCCGCGAGCAGCAGCTAAAATCAATGATAACGATGACTAAAAAAAAGCAGCGAATGCAAGTATATGGTTTGTCCTTTTTTGGATCTAAACCCGCAAGCAAATAAAATTCTGTGCTTCCACAAAATTAAAGTCGAACCTCCAAGAAAAAAAAAGTAGTGTCACTATGTAAAAAATGTCAATACTTTTTACAAACTCACAACTTTTGTCACAAAAAGCCGGTTTGTGTCAAATGTGGCGATGATCATAAAACAGTAAACTGTTTAAAGCCAAAGAAATTTAAAGCCAAATGTGCAAATTGTGGGACGACTTGCACCTCCAACTAGAATGGTTTATAAGCAGAGCAACCAACAGCAGCAAAAAGGCTGAAGAACGAGTGCATCCAAAGAAGACAACTGCGGTACAGCGTATTCAGAAAAAATCTGTTGACAAAGTAACCACGAATAACACCTATACGCAAATAACTATTTCTTCTAGTACCCAACAGATGACGATACAAAAGCCTTTACAACAGGAAAATAATAATGCCTCCTTAAAAGAGGTGTTATCCGCTCTGGCTAACATTACAAAAATATTAGCCAACGTTACTTCTAGATTGGATACGTTAGAAAATAACTTGTTCAAAGCTAAGAACAACGCGCAACAGCTGTAGTCATAGGAGAGACTCAGAACTGCACATACAAGCCACAAATGTTTGTGTCAAAGATGGAATAACAACTTCATGGTTACGGCTATTTATTGCCCTCCCCAAGGATGTGCAGATGAAATTTAATTCACTGCATTTTTTTGTACGTTAGGAGACAGGTTCATTGCTGGTGGTGACTGAAACGCCAAGCACTCTCACAGGGGTTTAAGACTGATCACTCCGAAAGGACGTACTCTACTAAATGTAGCTACACTATAAACGGTGAAATAATTTCTACCAGAGAGCCAACCTACTGGCCAACCGATTCGTAGAAAATCCCTAACCTGCTTGACTTCTTCGTAATTAAACGTATTTCCTTAATTATGTTAAAGCTGAAGGATTAATAGAGCTACCCATACTTCTGTGTTATTATCGTTAAGCTCAAATGTAATTATGAAAAAACAAAAATATTTTCCAACAAACAAATGTATAGACTGGGACTTCTTTAGAAGTACTTTCGACGAAGCTATTTTCACACTTTTTGTGTGCGGCTAAAGTCGTCAACAGAAATTGCAATTTCAGTACAAAAACTGATAAATGTCATTGTTGAAGCGGCAAAAACGACAACACACTAAAGCTCAAAAAGGCACATACCCGAAGGAAATCAGAGAGCTTGTTCAACCAAAGCTGCGAACAAGATGATTTGACACAAAACTCGACACCCATCCAATAAAACCAAATGGTACGGAGTTTGCAAATTACTACATGATAAAATCAAAGTACAAAATGAAACATTTAGTGCAATTCGATAATAATATAACTCGTATACTAAAAAGCATATTTTTAAACATTCTATGTAGGAAAATAGACAATATTGTATTATTAAGACAATCTATATTTGTATTTATAATATGTACGACACTACAGTGTACCTAGACGATGTCCTTAAGTTATTGTCCATTTTAATAAAGATATTAATAATAATTTCGTTATTTATTTATTACAACAAATAACGCTTCGTGATTTTACAGCAGTATTTCATCTTTCGGGAAACCTAATTCTCGGTAGTAATTCTTGATGACCTTGTTTATGAGTTGTTCTATTTCTAATTGAGCTTCTTCAAAGGAATAAATGATACTGGCATGATGTACACTTAAAGTCTGAGGTTCGCTTGTGTTTGCGGTTTGTAGTATTACGCAGTATTCGTTTACAAAAGAAATCAAATTTACTATATTTCTTTTAAAATGTTTTTCCAATATCATGGAAATTCTCGAAATTTTCTTATTGTATTGTTTACGGTTATCGTCGTTGTATTGTTCTACAGTTCGCTTTGCATTAAGAATTAGATAGATACTTTTCATTATTAGGTGTATATTAGAATCGGACGGGCATTTACGTAATTTGTTCAACGATTCTTCTAGAAAACTCAACGCATCAATCATATTGCCAAACATCATGTGACTGTTTCCTATTTTACCCAACGCAAAATCGAGCATATCCCAAAATCTGTCATAGTTTAAAGGAGGTGTTTTAATTTTCAGTTTTTTTGTCTTGGGGATTTTATTATAGTACTTTCGGCAACGAAGCTTATTACTCACAAGTTTTCCCTCACGTAAGCTCGATTGTAGAATCAATCGAATGAAGGATAAATAATCTAATATGGCCTTCGCGTACACACATCCAATCAATCGAGCCGTCATCGAGTATTTATCGTAGACATTTTCTTCGGTTACGTAGAAACTATCGGGTTCTTCGATGGGTATAAATAGATCAATGCCGGAAAATGAACTTGCAAAGCATTGGTGTTTTCCTTCGATATGGTCGATTTCCTTCCATCTAGGACAGCTTAGTATGGCGTTTAGTCTAAAAATTAGATCCTCATTGTTGTTACACGTTATAAACAATTGCGGTTTACTGATTATTAAAAAAATTATAAAGCCATTCGACACACTGTAAAACATTTTATTCCAATATTACTGTATTATTCCTTTTATTTTTTAAATAAATAAGGTATCGTTCTATGGCCAACGACTGAGAAGTTAAATTTTGCAAACAATGAATAGATAAATTCGCTTTGTAACGTTTTTATGAAATCGATGAATTTTTTTGGAAAATTATTCGATAACACCAATATATTGTTCCCACAGTTATAGTTAAAAAAATTTCAGCTAAAAACTGAACAGTTGCGTAGTTATATTATATTTGTTCTTATTGTAAACAGTTAACAGATTCGGCATACATTTAGTGACTGTTGCCTACCAATATTTTTACGGTGACGCACTACATATTTTACTAATATTTTAGAAGACACTTAATACACGCAATACAACGATTCTCGTTGTATAAAACCAGGTGGGTCACATATTAAACCTAAGGAAATCTTAATAAACATAATAAATAAGTGTTTTTAGGATACCCGCTTAGCGAATGTCAAAAAACATTCAAGTGTAAAGTGTTAGATTCTAAGAAAATCGATTGGACGTTTTTCGTTTTAGACCTAAGGTGTCCGGACGTTTGAGTTTAATTTGTATCGTTTTGTATTATTTATATACGAATATACATTAATTATAATAAAATAAATAAATTATGAGAAAAAAGTTAATACTTATTTCAATTTGTCATGTGAAGCGTTTATAAGCCAAGGGATATGATTTGCCTTGTGCACCTTTACGTTGTCATTTGACACTTGCGCTAATCTTTGTTTTGCTACTACAATAATAATCTTCCGATACATTTTATCTGCAAGTATTACTCTACCGCATTCCACCTTCAATCCTACACTTTAAACTTAAATAACTTTTCTATTAATTAAAAAAAGTAAATCGGTTAAGAGCCATACAAACCGTGTTGTTTACAGCGCAAATGAGTTTACAGAGTAAAAATTAATTAAAAAAAAAAAAATCTTAAAGATGTTCACTAGAACAAAAGTTATTTCAATTGTTATATCTGTTCATATTGTAAACAATTAAAAAACTCAAGCAAATTGAAAAAAAATTGGTATTGTGATCTTTCAACGTTAAAATTAGTCGATAAAGTGATAAAACATAGAATATGTTTTGCAGTTAGTCCTTGTCAAGTACTAGATAGTCAATTTTTATCTCTTGGCTCTGATGATTTCTCTTTACCTTTTATTTCATGATGACTTCGATGGAAATATCGTATATTTTGTGTAAAAAATTATACCTACGTGGTGATTAAACGGAAGAGTGACCTAAATGCGTGAGGTCAGTCTGGAATTATTTTCTATTCACTAATTGATGGATTTTCAAAACAAAAAGTTTAAATTAAATTTTCCTTATACAAAATTAAGAGTAGTGTAAATAATGCAGCCGGTCTACCGACGGGATTTTCATAGGCCCCACTGCTTCGAGAACTATTAAAATTATGTGTAATATAAGACACCTCTGGACACCGGCCGGGCAACATTTTGCCCTGCATCCCCACACTAAGCTTATAAATTATACAAAGAACATCTTTCAATAAGGTTACCCCACCAAAAAATTTTTAGTCACTAGACGTGTAATTTTTTTAGAAAGTCGAAAAAAGTTTTTTATTTTGTTTATCTCTTCTTGTTTTTTTTTAGAATTTATATTAAAATTTGCATGAACTTTGTGGTAATTACTAGTCTAGCGCGTGAGTCCGTCCAAAAATGTTCTAATACTTTTCTTCTACAATTCGCGTCGTTGTAATTATGTATGCGTACATTGTACACTATAGTTATTCATTTTTTTAACGTTTTTATCAATAGCAAATGTATCAATTAATAATGTTTGTAAATCCTGCGGTGTCTATAAAAATCGTTTGGTACAAATGACGGCGCTTAGCAACCGCAATACGGAAACCAATATCACCCATTTATAGTCAGTCAGTACGTCAGTCATAATTTTACTAAAACTGTTTTTTATATAATTCGTCATTTTTGAAGTCGCGTTATGGTTGTTGTGATTTGTGGGCGTGAATTCAAGTGTTACATACGAACGCAGCATCTGTTGTATGTACTGTCCACAGTTGCCAGGCATAGAATTGTAACCGCTTCGTTCTGAATCTGTGTCAATAGAATGCTGGTGAGTTAAAATTAGTTTTATTTTTATTGCCGATGCCTTATTGAGATTTGCTATTGTTAATAGTATGTTTTAATACACACTTATTAACAATAACAAATGCCTAATATATGGTAATACACGTATAACATAGGATACCTACCAAATATTATTCAATACACTATAATTTTTACAAATTTGGTCAATAATTTGATATTTCCCATAGGTAATCTAAAAATATTCAATTTATATAGTGAAATAAGTTAAAATTCAAGAAATATACTTAAACTGAAAACAAATAAAAAACACAAATATCTCCAATTATTTCATCACAAAAAATACAACGAAAAATTATTTTAAACTTTTTTCTGTAAATATCTGTATATTCGTATCATGCAGCATCACTAACAAAATAAGATTTTAAAATAAAACCAAGAAAATATTACAGTTTGGATTTGAGTAAATGGTGCTGGTTATATTTCTGGTTCATTATCCAATTTACTTTTCAATAGATAACCGCAGTATTAAATTATTAGGACAATCTATATTTAAATGTAACATGTATAACACAACTATATGATATCCATTATAATATACAAATTAATGTAGTATAAGTTACAAAAATCACGTTTCCAGTTTTACCGACTGTTTTCCATTTTTCGGGAAACCTAATTCTCGGTAGTAATTATTTATGACCTTGTTTATGAGATTTTCGATTTCTAATGGAGCGTCTTCTACGGAATGAATGACGCATGCCTGATGCACATTTAAAGTCCGAGGTCCGCTTGTGTTTGAGGTTTGTAGCATTTCGCAGTTTACATTTTTGAAAAGAATCAATTTATTTACTATGTGACATTTAAACAATCGCTTCCACAGACTGGGAATTTTCGAAATTTTCATATTGTATTTATAATGGTTTTCGTCGTTGTATTCTTTTAGAGTTTGCTTCACGTTACGGATAAAAAATACACTTCTTCTTATAAGCTCTATATTTGAATCCGACGAGCCTTCACGTAATTTATTCAACGATTTTTCTAGAAAACTCAACGCACCGGTTATACAGTCAAACATCTCGTGACTTTTTTTTATTTGAGCCAACGCCAAATCGAGCATATACCAAAATCTGTCATAGTTTAAATCAGTTTTAGCTCTCGGTTTTTTTGCTAAGTTTGCTTTTTGGCGATACCTTCTAATACGGAATCCGTTAGTCACTCGTTTTCCCTCGCGATTGCTTTCGTGTACAATAAATAGAATGTAGGATAAATAATCTAATATGACCTTTGCGTACACACATTCTATCAATCGAGCCGTCATTGAGTATTTATCGTAGACATTTTCGTCGGTTACGTAGAAACTATCGGGTTCTTCGATGGGTATAAACAGATCAATGCCGGAAAATGAACTTGCAGAGCATTGGTGTTTTCCTTTGATATGGTCGATTTGCTTCCATCCAGGATTGCTTAGTATGGCGTTGAGTCTAAAAATTAGATATTCTTTGTCGTTACACGATATCAACATTTGCCAATTACTGATTGTTAACAACATTATTAAGCCATTTGACACACTGTAAAACATTTCGTTTAAATACTACTGTATTATTCCTTTTTTTTTTTTTTTAAATATTAACAACTAAGTTTAGGTATAATCGTACGTTATCTGAATCTACTTAAGTATGCTGCTCATTTACTGAAACTATTTTATGATGCGGCCCATTCCCTATTTGTAAACCATACAAAGTATGTTTCAAACGTTTAACACAAACAAATGCATGTTTACTTTAAGTAAACTGGAAATATCTGTGTATTTCAACGTATGACATTATTTATTTGAAGAGTTTTTTCTTAAACGTTGGTGCGAATACCTTAGGCGGTTTTTAGTTTTAAAATATGTTAAAAATTCTTTTATATTTCAAAGTTGTATTTTTAAAGTGGGCTGTTGACATAAAATCTCCATTATAATTATTCTATCAATATTACAATTGTGTTATTAAATAAAAACCAATGAAACTATACGAAATTGGTGGCTAATGGGCAATGACCAAAATTACTGTACTATGTGTTATCTCCATTGTTGTATTCAAAAGGGCCCAGCCCGTAAAATCTATTAAAATAAATAAAATAACCTGACTTTTGTGAAAACATTGTCGTCTACAAGTATCTTATTTTGCCTTAATTATTTATTTTAAATTATAATTTGCCTAGAATGGCTTAGAACTTTAATATCCATTTCTTATCGATGCCAAGCTAGAAGGTTTGATGTTTTATACATTATTTTGGTGCGGGCATAAAACAAGATATGTAATCTTAGTTCTCGAGATAGCGTCAACCCACTTTTCTGAGGAACTGAGCGGGTTTAGCGTAAAAGTACATCTGGACAAAATTGAAGATCAAAACGTTATCTAACTTTTGCCATAGGCGATTTTTGATAAATTTTTTTTTAGCAAAGTTATAAGCTTTCAAAAAACTGAAAGGTTAACATATGATAACTCAGTTTCTAAAAACTTTATCAAAAATTGTACATGTCAAAAGTTATATAAAATGTTGACCTTTAATTTTGTATAGAAGTACTTTTACGCTAAACCTACTCAGTTCTCCAGAAAAGTGTCTTGACTTTGACATGTTTTACTTGAGTTTAAATATTTTTTACGCCGGCTGGGACGAAGGCGTCGTCCGCCGACCGCGACCAAACCCGGTTTTAGGCGGCAGGTAATAATACAATTTTCCCTATTATTTTCTATTATCTACATTAGGTTTTTTTTATTTTTTTTGCATTTATCGATATCCGATATTATTTCTGTTATTTCGGGTTATTTGTCCGGATTAAGTGAGCTGTGCTGTGCTATCCGTAGGCTTTATCTAACTTTGGACTACTGTAAGTTTTAAACAGCTGTATTGATTTACTCGAGTGGTACATCAATCGATCAGTAGTTAGATATAGTTGGTATAAAGACTAGGGGTAAGATTTGGAAAAGTCTATTCCTTTTCCCCCAAAAATGTTAAAACACGAAAAAAAAATTACCGATTTTTAATTTTTAAATGGACTTCTTGTAATATATAAAGTAAATAATAATAATAATTATATTTGAGTAAATAATATTTTCCTAAATATGGAATGATAACGCTGATTCGGTAGAAGTTTAGTGCCCTAAATAATTTTATGTAGCAGAAGCAAAATTGTGTTTTTTTGTATCTATTATATAAGGTTGCTCAAATGCCTCTTCCGTAAATAGCCGTTCTTTTACGTGGAGAGTATTTATTGTATAATCGCTGACAGTGAACTGTAGTGTTTACTTTATTTTACGTTTTGGCACACATACACCAATTTTTTTGTTTTTTGCGAGTTTTAGCTCACCATTGTTTTTAGTGTTTTCCTATTTTAGTACTTAGACTACTAGGACAACATGGACCACTTCGAGATTTCTCCTTCAAAAAAAAAAAATCCTCGTGGAAAAGTAAGTATTTGTAGGACTATTTTTCTGTTGCGAACTCTTAATTTTTAAATATATATTATTTTCTTTAGTTTGTTGGGACTGGTCAAAAGCGGATTATCATCAATCTGTACAAAGACAAACTCAAGCAACAACTTGAAAACCCAGACAGCCCCCGATTGACCTACAGACAAATGCTTGTCGAAATTTCCAAGGCAAGTGGTATTGGACAACGTACAATACAAACAACATTGGCCGAGTATAAAAAAGAAGGTATAGTTTCATCGCCCATCAAGAAAAAATTAAGACCTACAATACTTGACAAAGTGGACGAATTTGATAAAAATGCCATTAGGCGAAAAATACATGGCTTTTGGTTGAATCGTGAAGTACCTACACTTGCGAAGATGTTAATAGCCATTAATGATGATGAAACTTTACCGAATCTTAAACGTTCGTCATTTCAAAAAGTGTTAAAGGAACTGAAATTTGTTTATGCAAAAAAATCTCGCTGTAGTGCCCTTCTTGAAAGAGAAGACATACAACGTTGGCGCCGAAAATACTTGGATCAAATAAGGCAATACAGAGCACAAAACATACCAATATATTACTTGGATGAGACAGTACGGTCAAGTCACCCCGTGACGCATTCCTCAGAGGCTTCACCACAGGACAAAAGGAACCCTCAGGTAAAGCCGGTTTGTACCTGGGGACCTTTTGTGCTTCGAATCCAAAACCAACTCGTCAGACTACCACGATGAAATGAATGGCGCTACGTTCTTTGAGTGGTTTGAAAAAACTTTGCCAATGCTCAATGAAAATGCCGTAATTGTAATGGACAATGCTTCACATCATTCCGTTAAAAAAGATCCAATTCCAGTGATGTCTTGGAAGAAACAAGATATTATAAATTGGCTAGAAAGCAAAGGTGATATCGTTACCCAGCAATGTTGGGAAAAAGTCTAGTTTAGCGGGCACCCTTTTTCGGTCGGCGTCCTGATGACAATATCAGGTAAAATATTTTTTACCTGATCAATTTGTTTATAATTGCAGCTGTTGATCTTATCCATTGCACTCAAATAATAGTGTAATATTACACTATTTTAATAATTTTTTTTTTTAAGAAATTAAAAATAATTTTGGTACTCTAAAATAATAATAATGTAATAACTTCGGTTTCTGCACTTATGCCGTTTTAAGATCATATAAAAGCGTTTCTTGTATGTCACAAACAAACTCAAGTTTACCTTAGGTAAATTTCAATACATAGGTAATTTTGTTAAAGAATAATTGTTTTTTTTTTCAAATTGTTTGGCAACGCCAACTATTGTTATGCTGTTGAATATACACTGTGAAACACGTCTGCTGAAAACTAAATGCATAGTTATACTATAATATCTATAAATATTGTTAGCAATTAAAATCTCATGAAAGTACATTTATTCATATGGATATCAAAGCATTTAATTTGTATCATAAATCGTTAGCTAAATTAGTTTAAATTGTTTATTAAAAAGGATTTTTTTTTAATTTTTAATAGACAACCACAGAATTAGATAATTAAAAAAATCTTTATTTGTATAGACTATATGTACAACAAAAATTATACGATATCCATTATAATACATATTAATATAATTATACAATTTAGATATTCAACCAATTACGTTTTGTAATATTACGGCAGCTTTTCTTCTTTCAGGAAACCTAATTTTCGGTAGTAATTATTGATGACCTTGTTTATGAGATTTGCAATTTCCAATTGAGCGTCTTCAACGGAATGAATAATGCTGGCCCGGTGCACACTTAAAGTCTGAGGTTCGCTTGTGTTTGCAGTTTGTACAATTTCGCTGTTTTCGTTTGTAAAATGAATCAATTTATTTACTATATGACATTTCAATTTTTTTCCAATACAACAGGATTCTCGAAATTTGTATAATGTATTTATAATGGTTTTCGTAATTATATCGTTTTAATGTAAAAATTGTGTATTTCATTGGCTTTATTATTTAAAAAGTACTTTATACGATTAATAATACATTTCTATAATTAAAAAAAAAAAAAAGAACAATGAAAATATACGATTTTGGTCGCTAATGACGGTATGAAACAACTCGGGTTTTGCTGTACTATAACCCAACATTTGTAAAAACATTGTTCGTTCGACAATTTTTTTTTTTATATCCTCTTTAACTTTATTTAAAAGTTGATGGTTGAATGATGGTTTGTGTTATAAATGTATGAACATAAATAAAAAATGTATACTTATTTCAACTTGTATAAAGTGGTTTTGAAAATAAAAGGATATGTTTTTTACTGTGTCCATTATGTTACTCTTTGTTACTTGCATTATTCTAGTTTGGTTACTATAATAATACATTCGATTTAACCAAAATCTATTAATTATGTCTTTCGTCGACGGAATTTCCAAATGCCAAAAAAAAAAAGTAGTAATGTAATCTTTCATCGTTAAGATTAGCCGGTAAAGTGATGAAACATGTTTCATGTATGTTTTTTTTTTACTTCATCTTAGCCAGAATTCTCTATTATATAAGGCGCGAATATCACACGAATTTTGTAATTCAATATTGTAAACAGAAAACGAGCTCTTAAATATGTGGTTGAAATAGGAATACTTGTGCTGAAACACAAAAATTAAATTTATTTTAAAATTATAGACTTTCGTTAAACGCGTCATACTTCTTATTATAATTCGAATTGATTTGCTGTGATTTGTGTGATGTCATGGTAGATGTTCGGGGAAGCTGCATATAAGCCGTCGATGACATTGACGTGTAACCTCATCCAGAGTTTATTATATTTACATGTAGAGTTTAACATAATTTTTAATAGTCGACCGCAGTTTTAGACTATTCAGATAATCTATATTTATACATAATTTGTGTAACAAAATATATAATATCAATTATAAAAAATACTTTTAAAGTTATTAAAATATAGGTATTGTGATTTTACGGCAGTATTTTATATTTCAGGCAACCTAATGCTCGGTAGTAATTCTTGAAGAACTTGTTTATAAGATTTTCAAACTATAATTGAGCGACGTATTTGTTTGTAAAATTAATCAATTTGCTTACTATATGACATTTTAAATATTTTTCCAATACAACGGGAATTTTCAAAATCTGTATTTATAACGATTATCATTGAGAATACATTGTATTTTTTTATTATTTGTTTCTCCTCACGGATTAAAAAGACACTTTTATTTATGAGCTCTATGTTTAAATCCAATTGGCCTTTACGTAATTTCACATTATCCATGAATATGGTGAATATGAAAAGATTTTGAAATTTAGTTATCATGTCTGTCTATTTAGGTACGACACTGGTATAATAGTGTTCACCACTCAATTTACGAAGAAACGATCGTTACAAATAAATCATTACCAGAAAACAAATTTGTAGATCATTGGTGTTTGTCTTCGATAGGTCGATTTGCTTCCAATCAGGATGGTTTAGTGTACCGTTGAGTCTACAAATTAGATCTTTATTGTCATTACACGACATTAACATTTGCTAATTACTGATTATTAACAGAAAGCCAATGGACACATTGTATTCAAATAATAGCGTAGTATTGAATAATTTGTTTTTTAAGAAATTAAAAATAAGTGTGTTACTAAATTATAATCGTGCGTGAACAGTAAATACTAATGGTTTCTGTAGCTGTACCAATTTAAAAACATATAAAAGCGTTTCTCGTACGTCAGAAACAAATTCAAGTTTACCTTAGGTAAATATAAATACATACGTTTTGTTAGAGAATGATTGTTTTTTTTTTCAAATTTGTTGGCATAGGTATAACTATTGTTATGCCATTGAATATACACTGTGGAACAAGAATGCTAAAAACTAAACGCCTCGATATATTGTATCTGTAAATATTGTTAGCAATTAAAATCTCATGAAAGTACATTTATTCATAACTAAAATTGTTTATTAAAAGACATTTTTTAAAAATTATTAATAGAAAATTGCAGTATTAGATTATTAAGAAAATCGTTATTTATATATAATATGTTTAAAAAAATTACATTATATCCATTATAATATAAACAATAAATGTATATCGAAATAACATATTAATATGTTATTTCGGTATACAACAAATTACGTTATGTGATTTGTGGCAGTATTTCTTCTTTTGGAAAACCTAATTTTCGGTAGTAGTTATTGATGACCTTGTTTGTGAGATTTTCAATTGCTAATTGAGCATCTTTAACGGAATGAATAGTGCTGGCCCGGTGCACACTTAAAGTCTGAGGTTCGCTTGTGTTTGCGGTTTGTAGCATTACGCAGTTTTCATTTGTGAAATCAATCAATTTGTTTACTACACGATCTTTAAAATAGATTTGCGATAAATTGGCAATTCTAGAAACGTACCAATTGTATTTATACCGGGTTTCGTTGTTGTAATGTTTTAAAGTTTGCTTTACTTCACGGATTAGAATGATACTACTCATTATTAGATCTGTATTTGAATACGACTGGCCTTCACGTAATGTATTCACCGATTCGTCTAGAAAACTTAACGCATCAGCTATACAGTCAAACATCATATGACTGTTTTCTATGTGACCAAACGCTAAATCAAGCATATTCCAAAATCTATTATAGGTAAAATCGGGTTTATCTCTCGGTTTTTTTGCCAATTTTGCTTTATGGCGAAACTTTCGACAACGGATCCCATTACTCACACGTTTTGCCTCTTGCGAGCCTTCGTGTAAAATAAATAGAATGAAGGATAAATATTCTAATAAGGCCTTCGCGTACACACATCCAATTAATCGAGCCGTCATTGAGTATTTATCGTAGACATTTTCTTCGGTTACATAAAAGTTATCGAGTTCTTCGATGGGTATAAACAGATCAATGCCGGAAAATGAATTTGCAGAGCATTGGTGTTTGCCTTCGATATGGTCTATTAACCTCCATCCAGGATTGCTTAGTATGGCGTTGAGTCTAAAAATTAGATATTCTTTGTCGTTACACGATATCAACATTTGCCAATTACTGATTATTAACAACACTATAAAGCTATTAGACACACTGTAATTCATTTTATCCATAGTCTACTGTATTATTCCCGTTTTTATTTAATTAAATAAATATCGCACTCTTTGGTTAACAAGTTAACAAGATTTTTAAACAACGACGTAAAAAAATTCGAGTTGTAGCTTTTTAATAAAATGGATGAGTTTTTAAAAATTATTCAATAACAACAACACGTTGTTTCCACAGTTTTAGTTGAATCTAAAAACTAAACAGGTGCGTAGATTCATTATATCTGTTCATATTGTAAACAATTAAAAAACTCGGTATACGTTTAGCAGCTGTTGCCTACAATATTTGTATGGTGACCCACTACAATTACATAAATTTTAAAAAACACTTAATACATACAATAAAACAATTTTCAAAATGTATTGTGGACATTGTTCACAGCGTTTTATCGGCATATAAGTCAACCTAATCCTGTTGGATCTAAAAAACTAAATCTAAATTTTTTTTTTAAATCGCTTTCGCGGATGCTGTGATAATTCAAAAAATTATTTAACTACCAAAAAAAAATCCTAACTACTGAACTAATAATTACACATCACAGTTTAACCTTAACCAAGTTAAGATTATCTAAAAAAATTCCTATACTTTACTCCTTAAATCGGGTTCTACTGACATCCTCTTAATCTAAATTATTTATTAGAAAGCATTTATTCAAGACAAACGCATTATTAGATTATTAAGAAAATCTTTATTAATGATATAATGTCGTAATTCAACAATTTACGTTAAGTCGATTTCTGGCAGTTTTTCTTCTTTTAAGAAACCTAGTTTTCGGTAGTAATTATTGATGACCTTGTTTACTAGATTTTCAATTTCTAATTGATCGTCTTCAACGGAATGAAAGATAAAGGTCTGTTTCTCATTTAAAGTCTGAGGTT